CGTATGCGGGTTGAAGCTTGCTGCAGTGATTAACAAATCCACATGTGGTTTGAAGCTCCTAGCCTTTGAGTGTCTTAGTTCTCATGTGTAATAACAAGAGCACAATACAAGAAATAACAAGCACAATTTGAAGAAAATTGGCAAAGGACATGTTGAATTACTGTTGGCAGGTTATGGAAAATGCTGAGGTTCTCTTGATAGATACACGGTGTAAGTCCTGCCACTGAGCAAGAGAATGAGATAATATGGTACATATAAACAAGGAGCTAAGATTTTAGACAATAAGACTGCTTCTTAAAACCAAAATCCACTAATGTCATAAGAAATCTTCACAATATCCAACTTTTGGGGGAATGTGAAGTTTTGAGAAGCAGCAAAGCCAACATCCACAGAGGAGCTGGTTTCACTTCTCCCATGTAAGTGTTGTAGCTTCTCATGTGTGCGCTCTTTCCACAGGTGCAGAGCTGCAGGCTTTTGTTTAACTCCACTCCAGGCAATAGAAGAAGGTGCTCTCTTTCTCTCGAGCCTCATTTGTTGCCTAAGTGCTTATTTTATCTTTCCTTTGTAGGACCTGGCCGCCCCTTCACAGGTATTGATTTCTCCCATCAAGGACCTGCCTTTGTTACTTGGCATAGGTACCATTTGCTGTTGCTGGAGAGAGACCTGCAGGTTAGCTGAACAGCCTTTCCCTTTCCTCATGCAGCTTCTCTCTTTTGCTATGTGACTTTGTTGAGCCAACCAAGGGCAAGCTATTTCCTAGGATAGATTCTTACCCAAACTCCCAGGAGTGTTTGCTCATTGATCCTTTTTTGTTTAAAGTGAAATTAGTGCTTTCAAGATACTGAGGACTGAACAGTTTCTCACTGTGAACAATGATGTGAAGGTTATCATGGAGATTTTTTTCTTCATCTCCACAACAGAGGACAGAAGATGTGAATTAACAGTATTTATTAATAAAATCAAAGCAACACCTACATGTAAAACTTGGTAACAGATACTGTCTGCTGATGTTGAAGATACCCTCCTAACAAAAGCAACTCTAAATATTACCCCCTTTAAACGTGCCATGCTATACATATAATACATGCATATATTTAGCAATACATCTTTTAAAGAAATATATGTTAACGTGCCCGACAGTCAGTTGCCGAAGCATTGACTCATTTCCATTTGCATTACTTCTACATTGGCAATGTTACTGTATTTCAGCCTTGCAGATCTCTAATGAAAATGGTTGGTATCAAAATAGCTGCAGGATCTTGCTTGTGTGAAATCGTATCTAACAAGCAAGCACAAGCAAATGCACTGTATTCCTCTATTAATACAAATTCAGATTCTTCCCCAGGGCTAGCCTTTCTGGAGTGAAAGCAAACCACATGCACAATTTTACCCATTACCCACTCAGAATGCCTCTTATTCCTTAAGGCTCGATTCATCTCTGCTCCTGCACTCCTGCCTGGTCTCTGAGTTGGTAGAAAGCCTAACATGGCCAAAAGAAGTGCAGGCCAACAGTAGAGTAACTAGTGACAATGTCTTTGCTAGGATGGACTTAACGCCCCAATCTTTTGAAACAAGTTGGAGCAGCACTGTGAAGTGTGTGTAGTTGAAATGTGGAATGAAAAGCAGAATGTCCAGTGAAACAACTTGCAGGAGGTCCCTTTCTTTCTCCTTCCTTCGAAGGTGATTCCCTGCTAATGCGTTTCTGTCCATTGCAGCGACTGATGGGCAACGACTCCTTCGCGCTGCCCTACTGGAACTTCGCCACTGGTAGAAACGAGTGCGATGTTTGCACGGACCAGCTCTTCGGAGCATCGCGGCCGGATGACCCGGGGCTGATCAGCCTGAGCTCCAGGTTCTCCCGGTGGCAAATAGTTTGTAACAGGTACGAGAATATCTAGGGCAAGCTTCCATACCGACCAAACCTTGCTTTCATTCAGTATTGACAGCGCGGGCTGCTCTCTCAGTGTGAGTGAGCGGCAGGAAAAGAGCCAAGGCGTCTTTTAAAACTGGGAATCACGGTCGGTTTGCGTGTAGATGGTGCTATGTAAACTTTCCCCCCTGGTATTATGGAAGTATATTTTTTAAAGATGATTCTTTAAAACCCTAAAGAGGATTTTAGTCGATTCAGCCAATTTGAGGCTGCCAAAAGTCTGAAGAGTTTGCAGATTGGCAAGTACTTTTTAAAGAAGGAATGCCTGCGTGTTGGTTCTCTGTAACAAACACCCAACTGATTTTGGCAGCAGAAACAGAAAACTGTTTTGGCATATAGGAAGCTAGAGACAGGCTGAAAAATCTGTTCCCTTGTATTGGGTGAGATCTTAACCCTGATATATTTAGTGCAGTTTGGGGATTGACTTCAAAGCGGCTGAGATTTCACATGGAAAACAGCACAGAGACAGCCCCGTGCTTGCTGCCAGCTGTCTGTGGGCGTATGCTGATTCGGGTGAAGGCAGGGCTTTGACGTGCAGGATTGGGGCGCTACGACATAAGATGTTGCTGGATACAATACTTATAAAACCTTCTTCTGTCAGCTCCGGGGCAGCGTGCAGTCAGTCAGACAGAGGTACCGAGAGCTCAGGGCTTTTCAGAAGAGTCTCTTTCTCTGGGTACCTAAAGAACTACTTGAACTTCTAGCTTTAGGCGCCAAGTTGGCTTTAAGTCTTGCCCCTACTTTTTCTCCAAGATAAATAGGGTTTTGTTTTTTCTTGAAAACTGAAATGACTAAACTTTTGCCTTGCCAAGGTCAAACAGAGAAGGGCTTTTGTTTATTTCAGGAGTTTCTGAAAATGCTGTTTCATTTTACACATTCACAGAATTTTTTCACAAGTGTTACACTGTTTTTCTCCTCCTCCTTCCCTCTTTCTCTCCCTGTATATCAGGGAGACTGTATGTAAAGGACTTGCTCCCCGTTAGCTAGTGGACAATGCCTGCAACAGCAGGATGTCCTCCAGGCCCTGAAAAAGAAGATGCAATGCATTGCAGTTGCTTTTCTTCTAAAGGGAATGAGGGATGGAAAGTGAAGTCCTGTTTGCTGCCATTCCTTGCATTTTCTTAGCCCACCCCGCAGTGGGACTTTTTCTGGGTTTTTTCCTCTTTGTTGAGAGTTAAAAAAATATTCCTTACTCAGGACTGAAAGCTTTTCAATTCAAAATTCAAAAGACTCTTTTAGATTGTCTGGAAAAAACTGTTCTTCCAAAGACCTCAGGAGGGGAGGAGGTGTGAAGGGAGTTGTGCTTGCCTTTTCTAAAGCATCCTCTCTCTGTGGAGGATGAGCCTGCCGAGTCTTGGTCCAAATAACTGATGGTCCACAGAGGCCGCAGAGCTGCAGAATGTCATGGCGTGGTGGCAGTCCTACAATAAATTCAGCTCCCAGGCCACGGGAGATGAACTGAGATGCTCCAGGGGGTGTCAGTCCCTAACCCCTGCTCTCTCACACGTACAGCCGAGGCCTCTTTTATATCACAGGAGAAAACGCCAAGGCATCATCACCTTCTAACTTGTGCCTCTTTCTGTTTCTCACTCAGCTTGGATGACTACAACCGCCTGGTCACGCTGTGCAACGGGAGTGATGAAGGACCGCTGCGGCGGAC